ACAAAGATAAACTATGTCACTTATTATTACACGAACCCTTTGTATTCTCAGTTTCTTCCAGATCGACCTGGATAATAAAACGTAATGCGACGTTATTATTACATCGTTATTATTAAGCCTAAATAAACCATAAAACACGGAAGAGTTTGAAGTAAAAAAAACAAATTATATACAAAGAACTCGGACTCAGCTACAATAATTGATTGGTGTCTAATATAGAAGTGTTGAAGTTCGTTTCGAAAGTCATATTGAAAAAATAAGGAAGTTTCTTGAGGTAATCCTGTATCTTTTACTTGTTATTCAGTTCTTTTTGTAGCTGTTTTTTCATGCAGCTGAAACACAGGTTTTATAAGAGTTCTCCTTATCATAGGAGATTAGTGTGATACAAAGCACTTCCGTAAATATAATTTTATTATACCTAAAATATACTGCCCTTCATAAAAAAAAACACCACAAACTTGCGAAGAACGATCACTTGAAGAACTTTGCTGTTCAATTGTTTTACTTTTAATCTACAAATTTACGATGTCTCAATCCAATCATCTCTTTTCGTCTTTATGTTTCTTGTTTTAACATTAAACGTTATAAAAAAAAACTGCATGAATTTCATGACAGAAATACCAATGCGAAAAGTGTTCTATATCCGGAGATAAAAATCCCACTGTATAATGTGATAAGTCATTTTGCTTTCGTTTATAAAATATATCAAGTTGTAACAATTAAGTGATATACTATTCCTCTTAAATCTGTATGATTGTATGATACGAAATTTTCGCACAAAGGGTTATATGTGAACAGCCGTCTAACTCTAATTTTCAGCTGATAAAGTAGAGTGAAGACTAATCAACAGCACCCACCGCCAACTCTTAAGCTTCCCTTGACTATAATTGGATCTGACTGCAATTCTTATAATGCATCAACAGACCCAGATTGCAGAGCGCATTTTTGCTGCAATGGGTTCGCGCGCAGTCCAAGCACGCTCCGACCATGACATCTATTTGACACTTAAATGCCTTTAAATGCACGCTCGAAATACTGCTTAGGTGTCAAAAAAGTTTTCGATTTAGACACAAAAATCTTTGGTTGTTTTAATGATTTTTAAAGAAATTGGAAAAACCAGGCTATGTTTGTAAATTATTCATGGTGCTAACTTTTGTCTTGTAGTTTTCTGAGTTCGTGTTACCTAAGTTGCTATTATCACGTGGTACGGGGGTATTGAAATCTCTTTTTTTTTGCGTGATACAATGTTATCGTACAAATGAATTGCACGATTTTAAACCACATTGACTAAAGCATTAGGATGAAACCATTCTGTTAAAGAGAGAATAAAAGTCTGACCGGATGTGGCCTACTTGTAAGCCTCCCGGTCAGTGGATGTGAAGGCCCAAGGCTTGAGTCTCACTGTAAATGGAAATACTCCATATTTTCCACAGTGGGTGCGTTATAAACGGGACAGTCAATTTTATTATTCGGTTTAAAGAGGCGAACAAAGCCCTTGTGGTTACGGATGATACTTTATTTGATCAGTACTTCAAAATTAGGGATGGCTGTATCTGAACCTTAGGGGTCTTTTACCTTGTAGTGAATAAGGTATCGTTCAAATTAAAAGTTAATATTTATCACTGAAATGACTTATTTTCAAACATAAACAAAGATGGTAATAACAACAACTGAGGCAATAAACACAACTATGATAGTTTTAATTATAATGAGAAAAATTAGAAGGCGAGAGAAATCAAATTTGTGAGTAAGGACTTCGATCTTCAAATTCGGTCATCGCCAGCAAACCAACAGACAACATTAAGCTTCTTTCTGTTTCATAATATCGAGAACTGATGAAATTCAGTACTTTTTTGAAAGAATCCTCGGGCAGTAACGAAAAAGCGAACCTGAAAAGGTTTAACAATTAACAAGAGAATATGCACCCAAATGGGCGTTACTGTGCAGTCAAAAGACTGGTTCGTGACATATTTTTTTGTTCTAAAGTTATATGCTTCACAGATTTAATGAAGCTTTTGACTCACATGTATGGTTTCCACTACATTAGCGTTTCCGCATTATGTGTTATATTAATCCCGAAATTGTTCTTATCAATAAACAGAATGTTAAAACAATTGATGTATGTCAGTGTTAAGCCTCTTGTTCTTGTGCGCTTGACGCCATAATTTATTATCCAGCCTTTTGGTTTGTTTTCTCGATATGAACATAATTATTTTTGTTCTGTATTTGTAATGATGTATTTCAACCTGACTATAAATCATCTGACTTAAATTATGAACGATCCCAGCACTTGTAAGACCACTCATATTTCATCTTCATTTTTTTGTCCTGTGAGGATTTTCTGAAAATTGTGAAAGAAAGACTTAAAAGAGGACATTATGTTTATTTTAATTTGAAACTTATAATAAGAAATGTGGTAAACGACATGAAACTGCGTTTATATTTTATTAGTTAAAACTATATAGAGTATTCCTATATAAATGTTTCATTAACTTTTCTCCTAATTTTCATGTCGGGTTTTATTCACAAATCTCTGGAACATTACTAAGTCACATAGGCTGGCCCCCATTCTATGAGAAGTATAGGCTTACAACAAACTTCCACGGGGTAGTCAAACAGGTTCAGTCAAGACAAAAATGTAACACAGTTTAAATTAAAACTTCTTTTACTAATTCGAGAAGCGAGAAACAAGAGCTGTCGACAATCTGGCGCAGTAACTACCACACCTCTCACTAAACTTAAGTTTATATATAGATTTCGACATCTAGACATTTACAATAAGTAACTCACGACTGCATACAGCTCCTGAAAATTGTATTTTATTTTTATAAGAGAATATATATTTTCACAAGATGATCTTTAGTATTGTATAACGTGGTTATTAGTGATATTACAGGTATGGAATCCAGGCCAAAAAAATAACAAAAAGCGAGCACGCACCAAATTAAATGTAGGATGATGTGCGTGAAGTAGCATGAGGTATTGTACTCACAATCTATTTCAGGCAAGTTGTCTTTTCCTGGACGCGTAAGTTGTGATAGCTCAGGGAGCTATGTAGCACCCATAACAGTTTACCACTTACGAGTAATAACAACAAGGCCTTAGATATTATTGTTACTATTCTATACATTCTGGAATGCGGACTGAGAAAATGTGCGTTAAACACCATCTGAAACTTAAAAACTTACTTACTGTAATGATAATAAACGAAATAATTTTTAAAAAGTAAATTGTAAAGTACAATCTGCTTTTTGGATTGCAATCAAAACAAAAATATTGTTATAATACTTCTTTTACTCCTTTTATCACCGTAGAACTAAAAAGTATTAAATGTAGTAGTTTTACGATTATTAAACTTTACACAAAGTTATGAAACATTCTTTGAGTTTTAGAAAAAATCGAAAGTTTTCGATAAATAGTTAAATATTCTTCAAATAATCTAGAGGGGCCGGAATTGACGTATAGGGCAAAGTTCGAGTCATCGATATACCATTGAACACGCATACCATAAAAAAAGAGATCCCCTATTCCATTATTCGGTAACTGCTGATTAGATAGGAAGCAGTTTGTTTTGTTGAATTTCACGCGAAGTTATACGAGGGCTATCTGCGCTAGAGGAAAGGTAGCCTTTGATTACTTTATCAGACCACAAAGTTGGATTTGGCCATCACTCTTATAACAGCCCCAAAGTGCGGAACATGATTCTTTTTTGGCGGTAATGGGACGTGAAGCATGGAACCTTAAATAAATAGTCTGGCACGTTAATCATCGGGGCCGCACTCGACTCTATAAATTAAGGGCGGCTATGTCTGAGCTTTCAGGAGTGTTTATAGACAGACGAAGGAAGACTGAAATAACAGAAGAGTTCTTTATGAAATACGAACGAAAAAGAATGAACTACAATAATGTAAGTGGAAAGTTGTGGGTCCAAAGTATTATTAGAGAGCTATTTTGAATTGTGTATATTATTTCTTCTCTGTAATAACTAGATTTTAAAACTTCGTTTCATTAATCCTATAATACATTATTAGACAGTCGTTTCTTCCTGTTAGATAAAAATTATAATTTTTGTCTAATCATTGCACTTATAATGCTAAAATTCGGTGTTCGATCTCTTCGGTAGGCACAATCAAATAGCCCATTGTGTAGCTTTGCGCTTAAACAAAAGCAAATAAACCTTTCTTTTTATTTGTAAATAAAAACTATATTTTGCATATAAAGTAACTAAAAGTACAAAATCATTGTTTAAACCTAGCGAGATATTTCGTGGTAATAAACGTAACTAAAAGTACAAAATCATTGTTGAAATGTAACTAAAAGTACAAAATCATTATTTAAAACCTAGCGAGATATTTCATGGTAATAAACGTAACTAAAGGTACAAAATCATTGTTTAAAACCTACCGAGATATTTCATGGTAATAAGTGTGTTACTTTTACGGTTCTTGATTACACGTTTTACTACAGTTGTCGCTCTTGCCACACCCTTCACTACATCACCGTTCATGACCATGTAAGTCCCTAAAAGAAAACTTTCCTCTAGCTATAGGTTAGATAGCTTTAATGCTTATATTAGTCATAGCCATTTGTTTAATGTTAATCTACTTTTATAATCTAATTTTTTTTTAAACTGTGTTTATGGAACCCCTTCGACAGTTCGATTTGTTGTCTTTCTTAGACATTGATATGCTGCCAACTAGAGTATGAAGTCATCCTGAAATTGTCGTTTGACGGTAAAATGCAACATGTATTATAAAACAACTAACTGTAGCTTCTAATAAATGTTTGAATATATGATATTAAAATAATTTTGTGATTTAGAATTTTAAAGATGGGAATATTTTTTGTACTTAATACATTAAAAATATGGAATATGGATAACACCAGGACCATCCATTAAAGATCTGGAACAAGTTGTGACTTTTCAATGGGAAAAAAAACCGTCTGCGAGACCCAAGCAATAGTACACAAAATACTCTAGAGGGATCTCTGTCTAGAAAATGACGTAAGTCACGTATAAATAAGTTGCTTCCACGACATATCTGTTCACACGTCCCATACCTCAAGTAGGTGGAGAATGAAATCGATATTCATCTTGTTCCATACGGAGACATATCGCTCAAGTCGCCCATGGATTTCTGTACTATTGGACTGTTCAAACAGGCGTTAAAAAATCGTTGTCCTCCTACACTTGATAGATTACTGAAAGCAGCAAGGAGGAAGAGTTAGGCTTTGAGCCTAACAGCCTCACGACGGAGCCTTCTGTAATGGAATTTATGCTGCAGGGCTATTGTCATGATGTACATTCATCAGATAGAGTATGATCGGACGTGGCGATATGGACTGAAAGAATGTGGTGAAACTCCAAAATGTCTGTATATAGTGTTAATTTTAAATACTTAGTTACTAAGTTTGTATTAAAAACATACATGTAATTATGCTGTCAAAAAACTGTCAAACTGCAGACATTTAGAGGAGTTAAGAGACTTTCGAGCCTCAAGGACACTTCATAGCCTACTTGTACAATTCGACCTCGTAACAAATATTACAAGATACTGTTCTTAAACAATGCATTCATACCTTTTTCGAAATTATTCTATCAAGATGACGTCATAAATGGCGTTATGGTTTTACTAGGTTATTGCTCTTGAGAATTAGTGCAGAACTAAGGTTATTCGAAATTCATGGTTGTTCAACAGTAAAACTGAACCACTTTTTAACAATACAATCGTAGCTTTCTCTATTCATCAATGAGCCACTCAAGTGATCACATCATCTATTAAAGACAAATTATACATTCGAAGGTGAGTCTCGAAAGTGGTAATGGTTTCTCTGGGTCGGAGTATTGTAGATACCCAAATGTATATGAAATCAGACTTTTGTAGATGATTCATTTTTAAAATTCTTTTATTTGATTTTCTTGGTGATTCCATAAAAACGCTCTTTTCAAGCCACAAACAAGCCTGTCAGTTAATGACAAGCTATGTCTGAATGGAATGAAATAAAAAGAAAAGATTATTACCCGGAAAAGAAACATGAGATTTAAACAATACAGTTATTATAATATAACAAAGCTAATGAAAGCAGTGACAAGCCTATTGATTACAAAACAATGGTGATAAACGTATGATTAAGAGAAGCTATATAAAACACAGGTTTTGTAAATCAGGCTCTGAATATTTTTTCTTTCAAAAGACCATTCAAAGAACTAAATTGAACAGTTAAAAATAAAATAAAGAAGGAAGAAAAATATGACGAACACGTTTTTTAACTTATAAATAACTGAACCGTTCGTGAATATCAAAAAACTTATGCAACCTAATTTAAAAATCATTTCTTTTTTGCTTCTGATTCTTTGATTGGTTTTTGTGCAAGACTACTCGAGAGCTATCTGTTCCTTATTATGAAATGATATACTAGAGGGAAGGCAGCTATTCAACACCACCCACCGCCAACTTTAGGGCTACTCTTTGCAAACGAATAGTGGGATTGACCGTCACATTATTACGCCTCCATGGCAAAAAAAGGGAGAGCAATTTCGGAGACGGGATTCGAACCCACGATTTTCAGATTGCGAATCGAGTGCCCTAACCCCTAAGCCATAACAGACCTTGATTTTTAAATGAACATGTTGTAGGATAATTACTTTAAAATGCTTAATGGAATGACCAGCTTTATTGAAGCGCCTAGTTACAGGATTATCTTGGTTTTGAATTGAAATTATGCATGATCGTTCTCGTGCACTTTCAAAGAGTATGCGACTGGTTTCTCCTGTGTAAATTTGGTCGAAGTTCTCACAAAAAATACAACAACTTAAAGATTTAAACGTACACGTGAAATGGCTATTAACATAGTAGGCTTACTTTAGGTTGCTAACAGGCATTCTATGATCTATTCAAAGGCAAGAGTTGCATTTGCTCATATGCCAATGTCAGTATCACGTGATACTAGTACGTTGTTTGGAAGTGTCACTGGGGGTCAGCATTCGGATGTGACTACTATATGTTACCTATGGGGTCCCTATGTGTTTCTCGTGCTATTCTGTTGATCTCTACCACACTTCTATAGGAAAGACGTTCGGGTTTGACCCTCTCTGACACTTTCCGAAGGCCCATATGTTTTTCTACTGTGTTGAATAGTTGCGTCAAGTAATACTGTTGCATACAGAAATTAATACTCAGTTTAATTTGTATTGAAATTTTATGTTCAAATAGCTATTTTATATTTTACCAATTTTTTTTTCAATTTGAGAATTTTCTTAAGAAATATTTGATCATATAATTCATTTGCCAATTTCAAAATCTTGCTAAGTAGAAAATAAAACCAATAAATAAAGAAACTAACAGAATTTCTTTCTTGCCTCATAGAAGTCAACTGTACTTAGCTTTATTAGTGATATTTTCGTCGAGTACCGTACTGTCACAACTAAATAGCATCTCCAATGTCCCTCCAACATTTGGTCAAGATTTTGATGATACGTCGACAGAGTGCGCTCTCATCCTCCATCGAACTTACGTGAACTCTAATGGTAGGACACCAGCTCCTCGTTACGGTGGATTCCTAGAATTTCTAAAACCTGGGTAAGGGCTAAGTAATTGCTTACTTTTCAAAATATTAACAGTGAGCTCTGGCTGCAAAATCGCACCATAAATATCATATTAATAGTGATTTCCCATTACTGGAATATGTTAATAACTACAACTTCACATCTTTAATTAAAAGGCTATGCATGTATATAATTATGAATGCAGAGCAATTTTTACCATACCATAATTTGTTATTTTGTTGTTTTTCAGACCCTTCCGGTCTTCAAGTCCTGTAGAGGAAGTATGTATACGATATACCGACGTTAACCGAGCTGTTGCCGAAGCTAAACGTTTAAGAGGTGAGTTGAGCTACTCTTTTCTATTTAGTCGGACGAATTACGTTATTGTAATACTAACGAGTCCAAACCGGTTTCTGGCGTGTAATAGCAGTTAAACATTTTGTAATAGCAGAGTAAACAGTTTTGATCTGTAATATCATTATCAGTAGACATTGTTACGGACTAAAGGGTTGTGTTCCAATAATTTCTTTGTCACATGAAAGCATAACATGAAACATATACACTAAAGATTAAAAGATGGACAGCAAATATATCGTTTATATGTACCATACATTAACTCATCATTGAACAAGGACTTGATTTGTACATAACAATACTGCCTAATACTTAAAGAGCTCTGAGAAGACGAGACTTAGTTCTAATGATTTTTACGACAGAAAAATAAGTACCGCCTCAGATATTGATGGAATTTCATAATTAGAAAATATATATCATATTTTAAAACATAAATATTATCTCAATCAAAATAATCTTTAAGATGTTTATTTTATAGGCAATCTATTTTTGACTAATTGTGACTATTGGCTAATACAAACTTTATAAGACGTGATACTCGTAACAAGTGTTTAATAATTAAGAATTTAAAATCATGAATATTTCAATTCTTATTAAAATATAACAATATTTTTTAATTGAGCACAAACTACACAATGGGCTATCTGTGCTGTTTCCACTGCGATTATCGAAACCCTATTTTTAGAGTTATCAGCTCTCAGACTTACTGCTGATCCTTTTGGGGACGGGGGATATAACAATAAGTTAATTACCATAGACTTGCTAATAAGTGAGTTTAAAAGATAAAGTGTGCCCACTGAAGCACTTTCTGAATTGAATAGAATAATAACTACGCAAGTTAAACAGTCGAGGGTTTGCGGCATGTGAGACACTGATGTCTTAAGTTTTTTTCACTTGTTTACTTGAAGATATATGAGAAGCATTATATATATATATATAAGACGAAAGTACCGTATAAGGCACTGAGTGCCCGAATAACCAATGCAAGTGCGATGATTATTCCAGCGATGCTGACACATACATGGACGAAGATCGATTATCATCTGGACATCCTTCAAGCCACGAACAGTGTCCATGTCTTGAGATGTACTAATGACACCACTAGTCATAGACAAACCTAAAGTGTTAGCCTCCATTACACCGCAAACCGTAATTATTTATCTTACGTTATTCTCATTCTATTCAATTAAGAAAGTGGTTCAGTAATTTGTGAACACTCTGTATTTACAATTAGAAATTCAGTTTGAAAAAGTAATTTCTACGTCACTTAATACCCATCAAAGCTAACTAATGCTAAGTTACGCCATCTCAGCAGTTGACCAACATCAGAACTTCAGAAAAATCTTACTGTGTGAAGCCTGTAAAATATAATCGCTGAGGAAAAGCCCCACAAAAGACGCACCATGTTTTACCACCACTTTTTAAACTATTACTTCCAGCGCCCTCCTCCAGTGACACAGCAGTAAGTCTCAAGACTTATAATGCTAAGAACCGGGTTTCGATACCCGTGATGGGCACAACATAGATAGCCCATTGTGTAGCTTTGTGCTTAACAACAAGCCATACTTTTAGCCATTTTTAAAAATAAAGTATTCATTTAAAAGCATATTGAATTGCAGGCATTTTTACTGAGTTAATGTTTATTTCAATGGTTATTGTTTCTCACATAGGATACAGACAACCATCGACCATAAATTCTTTGGAGCCACTCCCACCACATATTGATAAAACAGCGGAGCTAGTTTTGGCCACCACTCGGATATTGGCGAAGCAGTAAGTAGCATTTACTAACATATAACGCTGGTTCTGATTGGCTATCCAATTAATGTTTAGTATCATCTGGTATCTTGAAGCTAAATTAATAAATCTGCATGATCTTTACGATGCAAAAGTTGTTTGACAAACTACACAGTTCTTTGTCTTTGTTGTTTTTTAATTTCCCTGCTGTAGTTGTAGTTAAACCAGTACTTTTTATCTTGAACATTTATCGGAAAGTCATGCCTAGATGCGTAATTGTTTTAAAACTGAAATCTCACGAGATCTTTGGGTCAGATCTCACGACCGACATCTGTATCATTTCATCTGGAGGATGCTGGCTGTTTGCTAGCCAGAACTGGGTGAAACGTACATCCAAGAACCGGTTTATACCCAAGTAATTATAAATTTAAGAAACGTTCTCTATACTGATGAGGTTGATATATTAAGTCGCTGAGTATATGTATTTTGTTGTTTATATAGGCTGGCTTCAAGCTATGGATTTTCCTTTTATCAGTAATATGATTTAACATACAAATATACACATTATTAATAATGATGTATAATGTATTATGTGTAGACGAACCTTGCCATTATTTTCACTAGAAGATTTTAGTTCTATTTAAAGTAAAGAAAAATAACTACACAGAGATGGACAATAAGCTTCATGCACTTTGGTCACTGCATAGATGGGACCCTGAATTTTAGCGTTGTAAGGCCTCAGCCACCGCGGAAGGGGCATACACAAAATAAATAAAACGTTATCACTAATCAAATTCGGTTAAAATTACCTTCCAAAAGGATGTAACATGTGACTTAAAGGAATGAAATCAAAATTGGCGGCCAAATTGGTAGCTACATCACAGCATTAATAATAATTTTACAGCAAATATTCATTCATTAGTTAGCCAGGCCGCGTTTTTTTGTTCAACTTGTGACATGATAGTGGGTAAAACAAAATACGCGGCCTAGCTAACTAATGCATGAATAT